CAGCTCCTCTCCCCTTTCTCCTCCCTCTTTCCTCCCTCCCTCCCTCCCTCCCTTGTTCTCCTCTTTCTGGGTCTCATGTAGCTCAGGCTGTTCTCAAACTCACTATGTAGCTGAGGATGGCTTCGAACTCTTGATCCTTCCCCTTCCATCTTCCAAGTGCCGAAATTACAGGTATGTGCCACCACACCCCACTCAGGTCTTCTTAAATGTGTAAATCTTTATTGATTTTAATACATCAGAAGTAATGCAGGATAGCCGTTGTTATTCTGACTAAAAAGTTTCACCCTTTACCAAAGTGAGGACTTGAGCCAGGACACAGACTGCCTTCTACAGGATGCAGGAGCTGTTCTGGGGAAGAAACCCAGCCTGAACAGAGAAGCCTGGATGGAGTCTGTACCTGTGAACAGGTCCATGGCTTCCCTTTCTGAGCAAAATGTAGAAAAGGAACTTTCACCCAGTGACTCTGTGACACATATGAACATGCCTTCCACATGTGAACAAGGTGCTTTCTACCCCAAGACCCTTGGACACAGATGAACATGCCTTTCACATGTCAACAAGGTCCCTTCTACCCCATGACCCTGGCACACAGACGATGTACCTTCTACCCTGTGACCCTGGCACACAGACGATGTACCTTCTACCCCGTGACCCTGGCACACAGATGATGTGCCTCCCTCAGGTAGGCGCTCTCACAGAAGTGTTGTTGCTTCCCAAAGCTCAGTCTGGCCCTTTCCTGAATTTACCACCAGTCTCCTGGACCCTGACTGTTATCCTTGAGGACAGGTTTGAGTTGAATTGGTGATTTATTTTCCTCTTTATCTCCATCCATTCCCTACACACACCCTTATCATTGTATATCAGCTATAAGGCAGCCTAGAATGGATCAAAAACACATAAAACAAGACTGTAACAGAGACAAACAAGCACAGAAGCGAAGGGAGCAGCAGGATGAGCTGTTGACGTGTAGAAGTACTAATCAATGTCCCTTTCTGGCCAGGCCTGGTGGTACACACCTGCACTCCCTGTGCTTGGGAAGCTGAGGCAGAAAGAAGTCCCTCATGTTCAAGGTCAACCTGGCTGCAAAGCAAGTTTGGGGCCACTTTGGGTACCTCCAAAACAAAGTCTAACAGACAACGGGTAGAAAGATCCGTGCTAAACTAGCTCAGGGCCGTGTGCTTCCACCCCAAGTGTTAAATGCTTTCATGCAAAAGATCTCTTTCTGGTTACTCAGTGGGCACCTCCCAATCAAAATGCCTACCAACCTTATACGGAAATCTAGGTATGATTATCAGGAAGTGCACCCTAAGCTAAAATTAGAAACAGACTAGTCAGAGCTCAGATTACTTGTTGAGAGTTAATTGCCAAGATGTAGCCGTGAAAGACTGATGAAATCTGGGCACAAGGGACCCAGAGATTACGTCAGCTGGTCCAGGGGTCCTCTAAAGCACTCTCAAATGACAGCCCTTAAACAATGGGTAGACCCTCCAGAATTGTCAAAGAATGACAAGACCATCATTCAATGAATTAAATAATGTCTAAAGGGCAAATTTCTTGTTGATCCAGAGAAAACGAGCTTTGCTCTATGGGCTACTGAGTTCATGCACTAGAGAGCTTTAAGAAGCGTGAAGGTCAGGCACTGGGGTACTCTCCCCAGGCAAGTGGGGTGAAGCAGCTTGCTTGTTGGTCTGTTGGCATGCTAGTCATCTTGTTGCTACAACAAAATACCTGACAGAAGTAACTTAAAGAAGGAAGGGTGTATGTGGCTCTCAGCTCGAGGGTACAGTCCATTATGGTGGGGAGGCACGGCAGGAGGAGCATGAGGAGCTTGTCACACCATCAGGAAACAGCTGGAGTTGGAAGTACCTACTCAGCTAGCTTTCTCCTTCCCCTTTTAAAAGTTTTTTGAAATTTACTTTCATTTTATGCATATGAGTGTTTTGCCTGTGTTTGTGTTCCTGTGCATGCAATGCTCACAGAGGCCAGAAGAGGGCATAGGATCCCCCTGGAACCGGAGTTACAGCCAGTTGTTAGCTGCCATGTGGGTGTGGGAAACGAACCGAGGTCCTCTGCAAGAGCAGCTGGTACTTTTAACCGCTGAGTCCCTCCTTCCTCTTTTTATTCAGTCTAGGACACCAGTCCATGGGACGATACCACCTGCATTTGGGGTGGGTCTTCCCACGTCAGTTAACTAAGTCTTGAAACTCCCTCACAGAAGTGTCCAGAGATTTGTCTCATCCTGTGGGGGTGTAGCTGCTTCACTGGACCTGAAATCTGTGCTGATTCTCGCCACCCCATCCGTTTTCATTTTGCTTCAGTGCCTGGGTCCAGCTTGATGAATCATTATCTCCACCATCACCTCCATCTTCATCACCATCTCCACCATCACCTCCATCTTCATCACCATCTCCACCATCACCTCCATCTTCATCACCATCTCCACCATCACAGCTTTCTTCATCACCATCTCCACCATCACCTCCATCTTCATCACCATCTCCACCATCACCTCCATCTTCATCACCATCTCCACCATCACCTCCATCTTCATCACCATCTCCACCATCACCTCCATCTTCATCACCATCTTCATCATCATTGTCCTCATAATCATCATCTCTTCATCATTCTGACTTCTCTGTCAGCCCTGTGTCACCAATGGAACTGATAAGCATTCCTGCTATCACCTCTCCTGGTGGTGCTAACACTGATAAATAGTAGGACCAAGAACAGTTTTTGTCCTTGTGTGGGAAGAGGGTTTGTTGTGTTGATTATAAGTAGACATGTGGTAAGGTCACCACAAAAACTTGATTCTGAAGCAGTTAGGCGAACCTCTTCCTCCCTCTGTGAGTGTCTCAGCCTTAGGCCTTCTGACATCTTAGATGGGAGAGTTTTTGACTGAGACCCATAAGACCTTTAACAACACCCCTGGCTTCTACCCACTAGACACCAGATGGAGTGCCTTCCTCCCTATGGCAGGAATGTTTCAGACATTGTCAGATACTCCCTGCAAGGACAAAACTATTTCCCCTCCTGGGTACAGTCGAGGTTCTAAATCAAGAGTGAGTTCTAAATAAGAGTTCTAAATAAGAACTCACTCTTCGCCAGGCCTTGATGATCTGTCTGTGCGAATGCTGAAGAAGACATGACCCTTGCTCCCAGGAAGATCAGTGTTTTACACATAGGCAAACTCCATAGATACAGACATTACCTTCTACACCAGGAAACAGAAGATGTAGTTTGAGATGCACTTTGTTGGTGGGTGGAAAATTTGAAATCCTCTCTTGGAGAACTTGTGGTCTGTCTCTCTCTTGGACATATGGAGAGTGTGGGTGGAAGGAAAGGGATGAAGTGGGAAGACTAGGCAGGGCACCAGTGTCCATGCTGGGTGACCTGGGAAATCAGACAAGGGGCAGAGGCTGTAAAGGAGGGGAACAGTGAAGTGAGAGGGACAGGAAGAGGCAGTTGGAAGACCTGCCCTGGGACAGGGTTGGGTGAGCTCCTGCGGAGCTATTTGGACTGTTAAGGCCAGCTCCGCCTTAACACAGGGTCAGATGTCTGTGGAAACAGGAAGAACAATGGTGTCATGGACATGCTTTTCCTTTGAAACTTCAAACATGTTTTATTCCTTCATTAACCTCACCACATTCCACTGCTCTTTCCATTGGGTTGTTAAGGATAGATTTTAGGGAGAGTTGACATTTGGTCAGAATCAGGAACACTGTATAGGGGTAGGTTGTGGGGATACTGAGAGCCAGGAATAAGGTTCCCACATCTGGCTAGGGTGGGTGACATTGAAGATGCTGGCTACAGGGTCACTCTGGGGGGTCCCACAGAGCTTCTGGATTAGGTACTAACAGAGCCAACACTGTCCCCAGGACAAGGACTCCAGTCTTTTCTCTTTCCAGCCTATAACTTCTTAGAACATAAGTTTCTGGGCAGGAAGGTTGGGTAGAATCCTACTCATCTGATTGGATGGTTTTGATAGAGCCTCTGATCCCAGCAAGAGCTTGGCTTCCTTTCTCCCCATCTCCTCTTTTCTCTCCCCCCACCCCCTTTTCCCTGTACCCACCCTCTTTTCTTTTTTTCCATCTCTCATTCTCTCTTCTCTCCTCTCCCCTCTTCCAATCTCTGTTCCTCCTGTCTCCCCCTCCCTTCCCCAATGTCCCTCTCTGTCTCCTCCTCTCCCTCAATCCTTTTTCACCACATCCCCAAATAGTTAAGAAGAGAGAGGATCAGCTTGGGAATCTCCAGCACACACCAGTAGGAGGCAAAGTGTTTTCTCTTCCTCCTAGAAATCTAACGGTTATCTCTCATTTATTCTAGGTCAGAAATTGATTTATCTTCTGATCTTAAAATGCTGACAGTCCTGGGACTTTTGAAGAATTCATTCTCCTGACCCTAACATGAAGCAGAGTCCTCAATAGACCAGTGCTGCAGCAGCACCAGATCCCCAGGTGTGAAGGAGGGCTCCCTCTCTGAAGTCCTCCTCGGGTGAGAGAGGGTCACCAGCAGGCCCACCCTCTCTGACCCCTGGCCCAGGTCACCACGCGTCCAAGAGTTAAATAATGTGATACAGTATAAAATGTTTTTATTTTAAAATGCAAAACGGTGGTCATTGTAATAATAATAATAATAACAACAACAATAACAGTATAAAAGCCTGAAGTCCTCCTCGGGTGAGAGAGGGTCACCAGCAGGCCCACCCTCTCTGAGCCCTGGCCCAGGTCACCACGCGTCCAAGAGTTAAATAATGTGATACAATATAAAATGTTTTTATTTCAAAATGCAAAACGGTGGTCATTGTAATAATAATAATAACAACAACAACAATAACAGTATAAAAAGTTAGACCAGTGCTGCAGCAGCACCAGATCCCCAGGTGTGAAGGAGGGCTCCCTCTCTGAAGTCCTCCTCGGGTGAGAGAGGGTCACCAGCAGGCCCACCCTCTCTGAGCCCTGGCCCAGGTCACCACGCGTCCAAGAGTTAAATAATGTGATACAATATAAAATGTTTTTATTTCAAAATGCAAAACGGTGGTCATTGTAATAATAATAATAACAACAACAACAATAACAGTATAAAAAGTGTTTTTCCTCCTCTAATGCAAGGTGATATGTCCTCAAATCACAATGCTTGCTGCACAGCAGCAAAAGTCAGTCCCCAACCCCCTGGTGAATCCGTGCGGGGTCAGCTTCTCGGAACAGAAGTGCCTGTTGTCTGGCGTCTCTGGGTCTCTCCCCATCCCTCTGCGGGTCCTAGGAAGCAGGTCCTGGGAGGCAGGTCCTAGGAGGCGTGCTGCCGGAGGGACAGGGTCCTGCTGCGGAGGGCGGCCTCCGGGGTCTTGCCTTTGTCCAGCAGAGCCTGGCGCTGGCGAGCTTCCCGCAGCTCGGCCACCGCGGCCCGCTCCTCGCGCAGACGGCCGGCGGCGGTGAAGGGACTGCACACGGTCTCCACCAGGCCGAGCACCACGCCAAAGAGCGCCAGCACGCTGCCCAGGACGTACAGCTTCACCAGCTTCCCGCGGGACTTCTGTGCCACCAGTTCTTTGACCAGAGGGATCAGCTCCTGCACAGTTTCCATCTGGGCTTGGGGGGGTGGCAAGACCTGAAGGAGGAGCCGAGAGGAGCGGGGTTGAGCACGGGGAACCCTGGGCACTGGGGTGGGGGACAGCAGGGGAGGGACCCTGGGCACTGGGGTGGGGGACAGCAGGGGAGGGGACTCGTGGTCTCTGCGCCCACTCTCCGGCCCCCGGCAGGCCTCCCCGGAACTGTCCGCAGCTCACCCAGGGCGCAGTCGGAGCAGAGGAGCTGGCGGTGGTCAGGCGTCCTCTCCCGCGGCTTTCGGCTGAACACCGCACGGCTGCAGCTCTCAGAGCCCAGGGCTGCTTATATCTTCTGCCCGGAGACCCGCCTCCCGACTTTCTGGCTGGGGCAGACGCAGCACCCGCCAGGGAAAGGAGGGGGAGGAGGAGGAAGATGCCTGGAGAGGTGCAGGGAGAGGGGGAGGGGTGCGGCCAGCAGGGACCGGGCGGGAGGTGGCCACGAGCGGTGCACGCCCCCGCCGCCTGCGCCGCGAGACCCTGGACAGCGCCACCCGGGCGACGTGCGCCCCGGATCTGGTCCAGGAGGGATAGCGTGCTAGGAGACCTGGGACACTGTCTTAGTCCTGTCCGCAGGTGCCCATCTTCTGTGGTCCCGACCCCATACGAGGAAATTTGAGGTTCCATCTAAGTGAGAGCTTTCATTTTCTTCCAGAAAGGCCACCTTCCCGCCTAGCAAGGTCCTGAGGGAGAGAAGGCACCGGGAGGCCCCTGCAGTGAGCAGTCCAGAAAAAAAACTCCAGGAGGTGGACAAGGCTGGACTTTCTCACAGTGCTTCATGCCTGGTGCGTCTTATTCTCGTAAATGCATTACTAGTCATTTAATAGAAGGACGTTCATTGAGGGTTCCCTTTTATGCACAAATGTGTGTGTGTGTGTGTGTGTGTGAGAGAGAGAGTTTGAGAGAGAGAGAGAGAGAGAGAGAGAGAGAGAGAGAGAGAGGAGAGGGGCTCTGTGTGCCTTCTTGTGTTCCCATAGGTCCATCTGTGTATCAGGGATCAGCCATTAAATCCAAATTGTCCAGTCAGACCTGACAGCACAGTCCTGAAATCCTAGCTACCCAGCTGCTGGGGCAGGATGATGGCAAATCCAAGATCAGCCTGGGTAAGTTAGTGAGCCCCTGTGTGAAAAATAAAAATTAAAAAGGGCTTGAAGATGTGACTCAGTGGTGGAGTGCTGACCTAGCATACATAACACACACACACACACATGCACACGCTCGCACACGCGCACACGTACACACACGCACACACACATGCACACACATGTGCACACACACACAATTGTCCCCTCTTCCACTTTTACTTAAAAAGGGAAGTTGGGACCAAGCCTAGAAGGGGTACATTGATAAAAACGTGTTTGTCTAGAATGGAAGCAGTTTGTCCTCTTGCAGGAATTCCCTGCCACACTTACCCCTCCCTTCCCCATCCCCAGTGTGGGGCAGGAGGGCATGCTATCAGACACTGCAGTGAGAAGCCAGGGTGGAAAGTTCTCTTGGAAGCTGGTTAGATTAGGATTAAACCTAATGGGGGGAGGCTCTAATTTAGCTTTGGCTATTGATACACCTGAGTTAGTAGTAGGAGAGGAAGGTAGGACAAAGGGCCTGAAGCGGGGGGTGGGGTGGGAAGGAAGGGCAACCAATTGGCCAGAAAATCGTAAAGGTCACTGATGCAATCTTGCAACAGCCTGCACAACCTTCCCCGTTGAAGCCGGAAGCAGAAGGGAAAGGGGTGCTTTTCTTGGGGATCTGAGGTCATTACCCAGACAGCTTGTACCTACGAAGGTAGCAGTAATAACCATCCCCTGGTCTGCTACTAGACTTTCTTAGGTAAGTACTTGTCAAGGGTCAGGTTGGTCAAGGCCATTAATATTTAAAGCCCACACTTTAGTCTGTACATAAGCAGTCAGGGTGACCATGGGCAAGATGGGGATTATTCTTGAAGGATCTTGGCTTGGTTTATAACTCTTTTAACCTTGTCAAGCAGGAAAATTCTGTGTTGAGGGTCTGAGCCAAGTTTAACTTCAGTCTTGGCATTGTCTTTGAATTTCCTGATAATTTTGGAGCACTCCCTAGTAACTGGCAGGAGTAACTGGGGAGCTTTCCCAGTACCCAGGAGGGCTCTAGACAGTGTGGCACCTGGGAAAGAATATGGTGTACGCCTGATTTAAGGCCCCTACTTGGTTTCTCCTTAGAAAGTGAGTCAGCCCAGCTTCTGACCCAAAACTCTGAAACTGACCCGACAGCAAGCATTTCCTGTGTTTCTGTAACTAAGACATAGACCATGATCCTCGTTGGCCAGCGGCTGTAATTCACCGGAAGTTCCCCTTTCCCCAGGGCTGTGTTAGGGCACACTATCAGCTCAGCTGAGTACTTCTCTTCCCTTTGTCCCACCAGCTTGTTAGCAAAGGCTGGGCAGCAGGTGCTGTGGATTGAGGTCACTGGTGGATTTGGTGGTGCCTGTCTCTGTGGTAGCTGAGCCAAGCAGGAGGTCCTGGGTGTAAGAGGCAAAGAGGGTCCAGAGTCAACCAACCTGGGAGCTTTTCAGCAAAACTCCTGTATCTGGCAGAGAAAGACCGCTCAGCTTCTTGAGTAGGGGGTGAAGAGGCTAGGTAGGACTTGGGAACCAAAAGTATACTTTGACTGGGCTGGCGTCACTTTTAGAGAAGTCCAAGGCTGTGCTGCATTCGGGTCAGACACAGTTTACTGTTAGGAAGATGAAATGATGTCATCAGGTGACTTAACTGTCTACTTGATGAGAGTCATTGAGGACTCCCCATGGTAAAACTGACACAGTACTGAAGAGAAGGGACAGCTAGACCCCACCTGAGTCACCCATTTTCTGTTACTAATATGTAGCACCATGGTGTGGGCAAGTTATAAAGTTGAGAGGTCCATTTGGCACTTAGTTCTGGAGGCTCAAGATGAAGGGGCCTGTCTGGTGATGGACTGTTTTTCCGGTAGATTCCTGATGAGACAGAGGGTGTCACACAGCAAGAGGTGTAGTGTGATCATGGGTATTCTTGAGTGTGCAAGTGTATGGGTTTTTAGTGTGAGTGTGTGAGTGTGTGCTTTGGTTTCTGTTTATAAACCTTATCTAACCCTAACCTCTTCCCACAGGGCCTGTCTTTAAACAAGGCATTCCCTTCATCTCTCAAATGGGGATTATGTCTCAGCACCAGAAGCCCTGGAGGATCCTCAAGATGTGTACACACCACAGCCACCCTGTCTACCCCAATATTCAATTCTTATCCTTTCTAGGGATGTTGGAAAGGCCAGTTTAAAATTTATTTGGTTTATTTTCCTAATCCCTTCTTTGTACATGTCAAAACATGCACAACATCTGTTGAGAGGAAAAAAATCACAAAGGGGGCAACATGCAGTCCAAGGGCAAGACCCAAGGGGGAATGCGCCCCCTCCCCCAGCTGTGCCTTGGGTGCTGAGGAGGTGAGGGATAAGGTCTCTCAGATGGTGTGCCTCTTGTTATTATTATTGTCGTTATTATCTTAGCAGCTGCTTGCTGCCTACAGAAAGTCTCTGTCTTCCCCTGGGACTCTAGGGGCTGAAGGGATGGGATCATCAGCAGAGACAGAACTGAACTCTTTGTGTATCTTACACTCTGTTTAAAACAAAAATTTAGGTGCCTAGAGAGATGGCTCAGTGGTTCAGAGCACTGGCTACTCTTGCAGAAGACCTAGGTTTGATTTCCAGAACCCACATGGTGGGAACAACTCTCTGTAATTCCAGTTCCAAGGGAATCTGAAGCCCTCTCCTGACCTCCACAGGCATTGCAGGACATGGGTGCACTTACATACATGCAGGTAATACACTCATATATATATATAATAAAAATAATAAAATATTTAAAAAACAGCAAAAAATTTTTTAGTCTTTGAGCTACTCTTATCTGCATGTATTTGTGTGCGTGTGAATGAGTGTGCACATGCATCTGGAGGCCAGAGGTTAACTGTGGGTGTCATTCCTCAGAATGCTGTCCACCTTTGTGGCTTGCAATTTGCCAATTCAGCAATGCTGATTGGCCTCCAATCACCAAAGATCTACCTACCCCTCCTCCCCAATGCCAGATATGCTGACATTTTTTTTAAAGTTCTGGGATCAGTTTTAAATCCTTTTGCTTGCAAGTTAAGCAGCCTACCAACAGAGCCATCTCCCCAGCGCTCCTTGAGTTACGTTCATTTCCTAACAGTTATGGAGAGAAGGTGTCCTAGGGCTTCCGCATCAATGTAATTAGGAGTAGTTTTTCAGTGCTGGGATTGAACACAGGTTGCTGTATGGGCTGAACATATGCTCTGGAGCCACATCCAGCTGTGTGGCTTTAACCTTTCTTTCCCCTCTCAGGCTGGAGTTGTGGAGTTCAGACATTCCCGTGAATTCCCACTGTGGCCACCTTCTCTGCACACTTCCAAACCAAGTCTCATTCCCAACACAGCTGTCTCTATTTTATTGTTTCCCTGGACCTGAAATCATGCAGCCGTCCTTGGTGAGGCCTCCTTGCCTGCTCCATCTTGCCTGCTCCATCTCTCCAGACCCACTTAGTGTCTGTTTTCGTGGCTTGTTGGGTTGATAAAATTATTGGCTTGGTTTGTGCTGTCTTTCATGACCATCGGAGGGTATATTTCATGAGGGCTGGAATCTTGATTTTCTCTTCACTGTGTCCTCAGTGCTTAGTGCAACCCTTGGCACACAGTAGGTCCTTTCTAGGTAAATGTGGGCTTAACGAATAGTCTTTCTAATGGACAATGAAACTCAGCAGGAGGGACTGTGTTTGTTAAGTTTACTTTAAAAAGCCTTTAGGTTTTGGGAGAGATAGCTTTTTGCCATTTGTTTTCTCTAATCCATTTCAAACATGATCAAATGAATCTTTCCAAACTTTCCTACTTCACTGTTAATTGCCTGATTGAAACCTCAGGGTGGTTTCTGCATGCTGACTTTGCATGCCCTGATAGTCTTGGAATCCAGGACCTCTTTGGTGTGGTCTAACCTCACCTCTCCTTCTCCTACAAGACCCCTGTGCTCCCTAGAGCAGTTTCTTCTTAGGCCGAGGCTCAGTCCTTTCTGCTTCCTGTGGAGGACAATGCTTGCTTTGCTCTATCTCTGAAATGCTATGACTTTCCTCCTTGAAGACCAAGCTCAAGTTCGTGAGCTCCAAGAAGCCACCACTGCCCATGCCAGCACACCCTGATCTCTCCTTTCTGTGAATCTCAGCTGCCTGTGTGGCTCCTACTGCACAGGTTGGCACTGGATCGTGTGCTGCTTTACACAGTGGTCTTATTGTTTTCTGCTGGCTCACCTCAGCTCTGTGGAACTCCAGATCTTTGTTTGTTTTTTTTTTGGTCTTTTTGAGACAGGGTCTCCTTGTAGCCCCAGCTGTCCTGGAACTCACTATGTAGACCAGGCTGGCCTCAAACTCACAAAGATCCACCTGCCTCTACCTCCCAAGTGCTGGAATTAAAGGCGTGTGCCACCACGCCTGGCCAGATCTTTGTGTTTTTCATGGTTTTAACCTATAACAGGGGTCCAATAAATATTAATTATATTGACCTAAAATCCAGTGCTAGGCTAGAGATTGCAAAATGATCGCTTCAGACTCTCTTGGGAGGTTATTTTAAGTGCAATGGCCCGTCCTTGGCTCAGAGCCTTGACATTGAAATTGCCCGAGACTTGGCAACTCAGCTTAATTCCCTCAACTCTGGCTTCACCTTTCCTTTCTCCACCTCCAGCCTAGTGCCTGGCATTGTGCTCACTTGCACTCTCTGGGGCACCCCTCCAACCTGGGACAATTCTCAGAGCACACTCACAGGCATTGAGCCTTGGCTCCTCATGTCTTCAGTAGGAGTCACCAGCTGCTGGAGCAGGAAGGCTCTGCTGGGACCCTCGAGGTACCCACGGATCACCTGGCCTCTGCTACCAGCATACACTTAAGAAGGACAACAGTAGGTTTTACAAGGCTAAATCTGTGCAGACAACTTCCCTAAGCTTCATTGGGAGTTGGGTATGAGAGTATGGGGATCTGGAGTTGAGCAGACTTGGTTCTTTCAAGCCTCGAGTCTTCTACTCACTGGAGTCTGGACTTGGACCCATCTCTATTTCCTCTGTAAAGTGAGACTGAAGAGGACTTACTGAGATGAAGTGCCGTGAAGTGTCCGATGTAACCCATAAATGCTGTTACCGCCCAGTTGTCTTCCCTTCTGCTACTAGTCTGCAGTTCCCACATCCCGTACCTCAGCTCTGCAACTCTTACATCCTGGGTAACATGTAGGTAGCTTCTGGAAAGGTCATTCCAGAAAAGTCATTCTGGAAAGGTCAGAAACATTCCTTGAAACCATTCATACTTCCAACACTGTGTTAGACACGGTTACAGAAAGCAGAACACGAACTACCCTTGCCCTTGAGAAGCTCAGTCCAGCAGAGGACGCAGACAGGACGCAGGCCATTATTGTGTGTTAGGCAGCACAACAGTTGTGATGTGTGCTGAGTAGGCAAACAGAGCAAGAGATGAATGGATTTAGTTTGGGGAGGGGTGGTCACGAAAGTCTAAGAGGAAATGATTCCTTAGCAGCTTAGGATGTCAAAGGCTGGACTATATAAGGTGACTCTGGAGGGGTAGTGCTTGAGCCTGGGAAATGCCTTCAATAAGACGGGTTCAAAGGCATTTGGGAAATGCCAGGAAATGAGGCAGATGTGGTGGGCAGGAGCCCCATAAACAACATAATGGTCACCTACCTGTGTCATGCCTCAGGGGAGTGTGGGCTACTCCTTTCTCCCACAGACACATTCTCCTTGGCATCTGTGGCTACATCTAGCTTTCCTCTGAGCCTGTAGCTCATGCTTCCTTTTCATCCTGTGAGCGTGTCAGCATTTTGCAGGACCCCCCCACTCTTTGCAGGACCCCCCCACTCTTTGCAGCCCCCCCACTCTTTGCAGGACCCC